TTAGAAAATTCTGTTTATCAAGTAACTAAAAAAAATTCAAAATAATTTTTTGAACTTTAAGCAATAAAAACTAAATTTAGTAAGAATTAAACGCATATTTTTATTGCTTAAAGTTCAAAAAATTATTTTGAATTTTTTACTTTAATTATTTAGTTTAATAATATGTCCCGCATGGTCTAGTGGCTAGGATTTCTGGTTTTCACCCAGGCGGCCGGGGTTCGATTCCCCGTGCGGGAGATTTTTAATCTTTTAATTTTTTTCAATGAATGTTTTTTAATGAAAGAAGTTTTCATTTTGAAATATCTTTTAGTATAATCAGAGCCGTAACCACCGGAGAGGCCAGGGGCTACACTAGTATACTAGCAATCTAAAAAAAAAAAAAAAAGGTCTTTAATATGTAATATGGGCCCTCTAATATGAAAATTGTGATTATGGTTCTGTATAATAAACTATATTTTGAAAATTTGTTCAATGAGTGACATATTTTCATGGCTGTAGGCAGTGGGGGCTTGGAGAATGGGGTCTTTAGCCCCAACACCCTACCCCCTTACTTATTGTTTTTGTTTGCGCTTCTAATATAATATATTTTAAAACAATTTAAATATATATTTATATATAAATATATATATATATATATATATATATATATATATATATATATATATATATATATATATATATATATATATATATCATCCGATTTTTTACGGGAACGGGAAAAGGGACGGAAAAAATAATCACCTGGGCATGCGTAGTATAAGTTTTAATGTCTGAAGGAAAACTACGCATGCTCACGTGATTATTTTTCCCTTTCTCCTATCCCGTTCCTGTGAAAAAACGGATGAGTGGAAACTCACCTTTAAAAATTTGCCTCGTTTATTCAACATTTCTGCGGATTTCTCATAAACATCCTTTTTTAATGCCCTTTGGTATTTCAGCTACTTCTATTGTCAACTTAGGTACCCTAGTAGTTTTATTCATTTTACTGGTATATTTTCAAAGTTATAGGCATTACCATAATAGATTCTAGTTTTACGGGGTAGATCTTGTTGGGTGATGACAAAAATCAAAACTTATTATAATCAAGCAAAAATATTTATTCTGCTACCAATGTATTTTGAACAAACTGGGAAAATTTCGAAGAAACAGAATAAACCTATCTGAAAATATCCTTTTTTAACTTTATCAGATTTGCTATAAATCTAATATGGAGATAATCGAAAAACAATAATAAAATTACAAATAAAATGTTCCATATTCATAAATATGAATATGGAACATTTTCATATTTATGAATATGGAACATGTATATATTGGTAAAAGGTTTTTAATATTATAAATTTCTGAATATTGGTTTTAAAATTTTGTGAATGGCTAATTAAAGGCCTAATTTTGTTTTGTATTTAAATAAGTTTGTTAGTTTATCAGACTGCCACAAACAGTATATGTCGTTGGACAAAACTTGGTGGCATATTCATAAATGATGCAAAAGTACACAAAGATTAATGACATTTTCTAAATTCTCTAAAAGCCACAATAGCATTTAACTCTACAGCAGCAACAGGTTTTTCCAAAAGAAGTTAAAATTGATTTAAGGCTTGAGAGAGTTGTACCAAAGTTTGCAAAGAACTTGCAAATATCAAATGATAACTGTAACTCATATGTGAACCCATTTGTGTTTTGTAAATTGTCTTTTCGACCATTTTTACATCACTTAATGAACATCATTCACTACATTTACAATCATTAAAGATTGTCTTTCGCGGCAAGGAGTTGAAAATATAACAAAAGTTACCAAAAAGCCATATAAGACTTAACATGTTTATTTTTCATACCATGACTAAATGTATATTGGTTTTTGAGGTAATAATAATTAAATTATTTTGAAAAAAAATGATTGCTATGGGCGTTGCCAGGTAAACAAATTCTACCCTAATCGTTTCTAAGATGAATTAGACCAATTTATGTACAAATTCGACAAATGTGAGTACTCTAATTATGCTCTACAATGATTGAAATAAAAGAAAATCACTTTTTATAAAATCTCAAAAAAAATATATAATACGTTTTGAATTAGGATTGACCACCTTAAAATGTCTTCGATGGATTTTTGGCTAAATATAGAGTCATGAATACATAGCTGAAATACAAACGTTTATAAGGGAGATCTTTTTTATCTTTAAAATCGGAATTACTATTTAAATTTAATTAACTATCTTCAAAATTTGGCAAGGCGTGGAATTGATGGCACGCCCCTATTTGTTACTCCAGCCTTCATATTACTTGCATTATCGGTAACAATAAGATGAATTTTGCTCAAAGAGATTTTAAAAAACTCTAAATTTTTTTGTAAATATTTTTTGAAATGAACATCTGCGTGATTTTCCAGAAAATGAATTATTCGAAGAACAGCAGTTTCTTGGGAAAAGTTAGTTTGATCTATTTATATTTTTTTAATTTTGCCGTAGAAAGTTACAATTTATAAAATAACATTAATAATAAACAAATGGCTGGAGCAAGAAGAAGACATCAGTTTGTCTTATTCTGTATTGAAGCCTCACCGAGCCCCGTTGAGGCTTCAATACAGGTTGTTTTTTACAATAAAATATATAAAATTGTGATAAATGCTTGTGATATGTTTGTTGTTTATGTTTCACAATAGATATAACTGTTAATATATAAATTCGTTTTTTAGAACAAGTAAAAGTTAAAGCAGATAAAATAAATAAATTGTACTAGTTTATATTTTTTTACTTAAAAAAATCTATCTAATCTCCAGTAATGCGTAAGAATGCGATTTTCGCAGTATCCGCTGTCCAAATATCTGTCGTCATAGACAAAAAGTTTGCCGCGGAGATTTATATCTTTAAACAATTCATTATATAAGCTAGGAATTACATTTCGACTGAAATATGTTCTACATGGTAATTTATAATTGGGGTAAGGATCTTTAATCATTGAATCTTCAACAATAGAAAATGGCTGAATATAAGTTGTTCAATATTTTTAATTGTAACTTCTTTTTTTTTCAAAATCTAAGTGTTACCAAATTTTGAAGATAGTTTAATAAATTTGAATAGTAATTCCGATTTTAAAAATAATTAAATATCAAAAACTTAAAAATACTAAGATTTTTTCTTATTAATTCTTTCGCTGCAAAAACACGTCTGTTCACAAGAAAAGTATGCGACAAATATAAACGTTTGAATCTCTGTGAGTTTGAAATTTTTTAACTTTTTTTAAATGAGTCGTAATGAGAGCAATACAGCTAAGAATACAGGATAAGTGACGAGAGTGACTTAATAAGAGCAATACAGCTAAAAATACAGGATAAGTGACGAGAGTGACTTAATGAGAGCAATACAGCTAAAAATACAGGATAAGTGACGAGAGTGACGTAATGAGAGCAATACAGCTAAGAATACAGGATAAGTGACGAGAGTGACTTAATGAGAGCAATACAGCTAAAAATACAGGATAAGTGACGAGAGTGACGTAATGAGAGCAATACAGCAAAGAATACAGGATAAGTGACGAGAGTGACGTAATGAGAGCAATACAGCTAAGAATACAGGATAAATGACGAGAGTGACGTAATGAGAGCAATACAGCAAAGAATACAGGATAAGTGACGAGAGTGACGTAATGAGAGCAATACAGCAAAGAATACAGGATAAGTGACGAGAGTGACGTAATGAGAGCAATACAGCTAAGAATACAGGATAAATGACGAGAGTGACGTAATGAGAGCAATACAGCTAAGAATACAGGATAAGTGACGCTTTAAAGTAAAATTGTGGAACCCATAAAAACATGCTATATCGCTCTATACATAAAAGTATTCGTATTACTATAGAATCTTGAAAATTGTTGAGACAGATTGCTTGTACCCCTCCTCTTCATAGCCTGCCCCTCCTCTTCCTCCAATTTAAATAAGTTGTCTACAGGCATGATTCTGTGAGATTACTACATAAATGTCCCTCTCGAGATTAGTTTTTTTTCGATGTCGATTTGTTGCGAATTACATTTTTTAAATTTTCCAAAGATTAAGTATACCCTTGAGTTGAGCACCGGCTTTAGGGGGTTGTGAGGTTGTGCGCCGCACGAGCGTGGAAAGTAAATTGAGAGAGGACTCCAACTCACTAGCCACAGCACTTATTGCTGTTGTTGTTTTTTTATAAGAAAACAAGCGTCATGTCTCCATAAAAATTTTAGTTTTAATGAGTTTAGCGTTGCGCACACTTACGTAATAACGGAGACATCAGAGTTTAAGCGTACGAGCTAGTACCAGAAAGTTTCTTTGTTTAAAAATTCTATTTATTTTAATTGGTTTTTACCTAATTCTACCAAAATACCACCGGTTGTAATATTCATGAATATCTCTATTAATCATAAAATAATCAAAAAACTGGTCTTTAAGGGTGTTTTTTTTAATCTCTGTTGGTTTTGGTTCTCTTTCTCGTAATATGTCTAGGGGCACCGTGGAAGGTATCGGTAAAAAGCACACCTGTGGCGAAGCGAGGGTCAATAGCTTTTGGGCCAAAATAGCAAAAAGGCGTCTTTTTATAGTAATTGCCCCCCGTCTCGTTACGCAATTGTAGCACATTGCATAAGTTCTTGGCTAGTTTTCATAGACAATTAAATATTATATGATAAATCTTTAAGATCTCCAGAACTGTTATGCCATCTTAAATGTTCCGTCTGTTTTCAGTCTTTATTTTAAACTCCTGAGCCGGGTTTGTTCCGGAGAATTTAACTACGACTGTGTTTTTTATTATAGTAAAAATTATATTAATTTGTAGAGATTAAAAAAAAAGTTCACATTAAATGTATTTAGATAATTGGAAGCAATGTAAAATTGTATTCATTTCTAAAGCATATTATTGTTTTTAATAGACGCGTTTCTAGCTCACCTGAACCTCTTACTATCAGAAATAACTCTGACTCTATAAAGGTAATAAAAAGTTGCTTTACGTCTAAATGAAAGCGATTTAATTTAGATTGTTGTGGCTACGTATAATCCGTTTAGTTTTACTTCTGGCCTTTACGTAAGCGAAAACAAGTCAACAACATGTTTTTCTACTGGTGGTTTCGAAAGCAAATTTTGTGCAAATAAACGGAAACAAGTATGACACTTATTATATATTTTATATTTCAGACTATGTTATATATAAAATATGTTAGATTTAGTTATCATTTAATTTTAATACGTACTTCAGTACTAATGTTGAAGTTAAATTACTAATGTACTTCAACTACGCTTAAATTTCCACGAAGTTACTTCCTTTAACACGTTTACCTTTGTAATTATTTTATTACGTAGGCATTTGCTATTAAGAAATTATTTCTCTCTTTAGGAATTGGAAGAACCAGAGATTATAAGCAATGTTAAAAAATTAGTACCAAGTTTTAGCTATCAATCACTTGTTAAAAAGAACAGATGTGTATTGAAACCGCCAAGCCCCAACAATCGAAAATTTGAAAACAAATGTGTTTTGCAGTCACAGCGAAGTTCATCCTTTCCTTCTCAGCTATGAGATTTTTTGAAATTCGATTTTAATGTGCATTGAAACCGAAACTATTTTTTTTCTTCTGTTATTAGTTTTCATAATATTATTCATTCTTGTTATACTATATATGTTATATTATTCATTCTTTTTATGCATAATATCTCAAGGTATTAAAAAAATTAATATTGCAGTTGTGTATTAACATATGCAGATGTGTCTTAAGTTTCAATCAGACTGGTCAAGCAGACCCAAATTAGTGTTAAACTGGGCAGTTGATATAGAAATTTGAGGACCAGAAAATCGAAGATCTTTTTTAGCTGCATATTATTTTTCAGGTTTTTAGATTTTAGACGAGGGTGATCACATTATCATCTAGGTTGTCTAATACTCTTAGTCCAAATTATTTTAAAGCTACCATATTTTTTTTAAATATTTAGGACCTAGAGTTTTATATTGAGATAAACATTGTACAAATATTGAATCAATGTTACTTGCTACTAGGTTCTAGTAGCATTGGTGCAATATTTCATCACAATAATTCGCATAGTTAATTACCGTAACCCTACGGGTATTTGTTTTTAAAAATTACGTTTTAAATGTATTTTAAATGTCTTTAAAACGTTTTCTAAAATGACGTTTAAAAAACGTTTAAAAGACATTTAGAAGGTAACTTTTAAAAAAAAATGCCCGTAGGGTAACTGATTAAAAAAGAGTAAAAAGTAGAAAACAAAATGTAGCAAAAACATGCTAATTAATATAATCTTTTTTGTACTAAAAAGCGAAAAATAAACTTTTAAATTTAAATTTATTAGTTCAGTAAACTAAAAATTGACAGATCTGTTTCGAAACGAACCTTGTGAAGACCTGTCAATCTTTAGTTTACTGAACGTAAGTTTAAATTAAAAAGTTTATTTTCCACTTTTTAATACAAATAAAATATATATCAATTAGTATACGTTTTTGCTATATTTTAATTTTTACTTTTTTTCTATTTTAAACAATCTTATTAATCGATTTGTTAATCGTAAGTTATCATCTTGTTAATCTATTTGTAAGTTATCACCTTGTTAGATAACCAAATTATTACCCGAAATTTTTTAAATCGCAAGAAACTATATAGCTTTTGAAAAAGTCGATAAAATCGTTCTTAGCGTTATTTATTGTTAAAGTAATTTTTACAAAAAAATAATTATTCAGAAAAGCAAACCAATCCAACACTAAAAATGTTTAAGAATAAATTTTTTTTGAGACGTTCATAAATTTTTTTTCAAAAACAGATGTCCTGGAAAAAACCTGCTGTTCAGCAGCTGTGAGCATTGAAGCGTCGTAGCCTGATTGCTCAGCGAAAGTTTGCAAGTAGTCTCGTGCATGCAAATTATTTGCAAAATTTTTATTTGCAGAAAAAATTAAACTTGAGAACATTGAAGTGTTAAGATGCTGACAATATTAGCTTGCATGATTGTTGTTGCTTACGCAGGTACACGCGTTTTTTTATATTGTTGAAATAAAATACATTAAATACTTTTATGCGGATTTTAGTACCTATAGTATAAAAAAGAATACATAATAAAAAGCATACACAAGCGAAAAAAGAGGACAACTCTTTAAGCTAACTTCAAATATAAAATAAATAAATATATCTAAAAAATCACAGGATTTTCTTTCTTAACTCTATTTTTTTAATTACTGTTATATTGAACAAATTCGAGGAATATTTACCGTTACCTTACAATTTTTTTTCTATAATGGTTTTTAGCAAAAGTAAAAAAAAACTCGTTTTTGAAAAATCAGTTTTGAATTACATATAGTCGGCATATTTTACTTGCTATTAGCCAGTTGTTAGTAGATCTAATAAACCTAGATGGCTATTTTAAATTCGCAGTGAATTGATTAGCAGGTTAAATAAAATTATTAATGATACATACCGATTGCTTTTCTGGTCTTCATTTTACATTCAACAAATTGTAAACATTTGTTTAAAATTTGGAAGTTTTTATTAAAAAAAAAAAAAAAAGAATCCGAGATTTAAAAACAAAACACTTTACTTGTTGAAAATTTTTAACTATTTCAAAATATTTTATTTTTAACTTCTTAAAACCAAGTGTTTATCGATATGTTAGATAATGTAACTAAGTTTTTATTAAGACAATTTTAAGGGGTGTGTGAGTGTGTGTGGGAAAGAGAGAGAGAGAGAGAGAGAGAGTAGAAGGGGAAAGGGGACTGACATCCCCCAAAGAAAGTTATTTTCAACTTATAGTCGGTTTTTTAAGGAATATAGTCAGCATTTGACACATCCACAGATTTTTAGTTTTGAGGATTTTTTTAGAGTATATATACATATATATATATATATATATATATATATATATATATATATATATATATATATATATATATATAATATATATATATATATATATATATATATATATATATATATATATATATATATAAATGAGGGAGGGTGAATCCTCAAAATGTACCGACTGACTTTTATAAAAAAAAAAAAGGTCCTTAAAACAAAAATTTACCCGACTGAATTGTGTCAAATATCTGACTAGCCGATCAAATTTGTGAAAAAACCGATTATAACTTGAAAACCACCTTCTTTGGAGGGGGAGGGGGGCGGAAGTTTAACGCCCAATCCCCCAAATCAAATCTGTATATATGTATAAACCCTCTCACCATCAAAATTTGATTTTATGTATATATATATATATATATATATATATATATATATATATATATATATATATATATATATATATATATATATATATATATATATATATATATATATAAGGGCTATTCTGGTAAGATAATTTAGGCGGCGGTGCCCTCCGTGCCGGCGCCTTTTCGTATGGAAATTTGCCGTACATAAGCATTTTTCGCAAAAAACGAATTTTGTCGTAAAAAAAAAAAAAAAAGATCCTCAATTTCTGAATTGGGGCGGCGCACAAATACGGTCAATGCCGTCGAAAAGAGTCTAGATTAGCCACTGATGTATATATATATATATATATATATATATATATATATATATATATATATATATATATATATATATATATATATATATATATATATATATATAATATATATATATATATATATATATATATATATATTTCATGGTTGGGACCAAGGTGATTTTTGTTCAAGAGTATCTTGAAATTTATAACTTTATCGGATGACTAAAACAACTACTATTTAGGCCCAATGAAGGCGTTCTACCACTATTTAGTCATACCATATTCATATTTACAAAACTTAACAAAGTTAAATAACGTATTTTATTCTCTAATTTATTTCATAAATATTTATTGAAACAATAATATTTATTACATCACTTGTTGCTTAAATTGTCATCATGTTGTATCTAAATTATCATCTAAATTGCATTGTAGGATATAACGTCATCAAGTTAAACTGTCTTTTGAATAATAAAATATCATTTTTTAAATATCATTTCTATTGTTCATTTTGATTTGCAATATATATCATTTCAATCCTAAAGAAATATTTCACTTTTTATTATAATTTTTGAACTATATTTTAACTTACAATTGATGTAATTAAAAATATTAAATAAATGTTTTAGGAATTTGCATTTAAATTTTTATATATGTATAAAAAACAAAAACAAAACAGTAAAAAAAAAATTGCTTCTAAAATTATCGGCATCAGCCGATAGCATTCAAATCCGATTCAGATTCATTACTAAACGGTTAATGTATCGGGAAGCTGATGTCGATGTTAATGCATTAGTGACGTTGTCAGCTTTATTTATTCAACTGTGTTTTAAAATTACTAGTGATGCATCAATGTTTCACAAACTATGCGTCTACTACTTATATATCAACACAACATCAACCGTATCTCTTAGTTATGTCAGTTAAAGCAAACTGTTGTTGGCACAATAGCAAATTCAGTGCAATTAAGGAAAAATAAATAATAGCTAGATTTGCACTTTGAAAATGTTAGTCATACAAGACTTGTAATGACTCTCAAATATCGCTACCGTTGGAGCAATCTAATTTTGTTGACTGTAACGATCAGAACATTTTAGTATAAATTACAATTAAGTTACGAGATTCTTATTGACTAATATGCGTACAGTCAAACTTCCCATGAAACTTACTTCATGAGAAATAAAAAAGAAATTTTAAAAAACTGAACATTGTAAATAGTTATGCAGTTTGTTTAAAAACTCGCAATGAAACAATAGTTAGATATTTGAAAAAAGGAAAATCTAGGTATTTTGCAAAGACCATATTTTATTATTAAGTCTCCTGGAAAACGGTTTAGATAATAGCGAGAGTTTACAAGTTGACTTTAATTTCCTTGAGAATAAAATTTTTACCATTTTTGAAACAAAAACTTGATTTATTTAAAAAAATGGATATCAATTTTGTTTTTATTTTTCCTCTAAAGTTCGAAGTACCAAGGCAATTATAGCTCGGCAACAGTTAAAATGGTTCAACTTATCAAGTTATTGGTGTTTTGAGTTAACCAGTACTTCTTATGCAAAAGTATTAATAAAGATTCAACGGGAATTTAAAAGTAGCTCAAGTAACTGGAAGATTGAGTTATTGTGAGTTTGATTTAATGTGAGCTAACGGTAGATTTTTTCAATATCAAGAATATTTTTTTTTAACTAATATATTAATATAATACACAATTTTTTTTATCTACACAATTTAAAAACTATAGAATATTGTAAAAATTAATACGTCTCAAAAAATAAATTCAAACTTAAAAAAGTTATTAACAGCACGCTACTAACCATTGTTATAATCAATTTTGACCCCGTATATTGTATACAAGACAATTATATATTTCTATGGAAACACGATCAATTAAATTTTTACTTTTTCAAAAATGTTTGTTTGCAGGGAGAGAGCCCTACTTAGGTGAAGATATTGATATTTTAATAGAAAAGAGCAAACGATCTGGTGTAACAGCAGTTCCTCGTGGTATGTTCATCAAAAGCTAAACAAATCCTTTCTCTCTTTATATATATATTTTTTATCTTTATTTATGGCAGAAAGAAATCAAAACAAAGGGGACAATTCAAAAGTTCATAAATTTTATTTTTATAGGACTTTCACATATTAACATATTATTTTTCAGTTTTATTAACAACCTTTGATTTGATATTTTTTTACGAAGTATTGTTGTGTTGTTTCATTTTCCTTTTTTCTTTTTTTTAGACATAGCTTAATAGGGAAAGAAAAATTTGTGATGAACAAATAAATGGGGCAAAGAAAATCAAGTCAAACTTTAGCTTACTGATTTTTTTTTCTCAACAATTTTTCCCTCTACAAAAATCCCTTGTCAAGAAATCCTTTCTCAACTTCCTTTAGTATCTGTGTCATGATACTGTAAGTCTCATGGTTAGTAATCATTTAAGAAAGATTAAGAACAAACCATGAACAAACCACACACTGTTCCCTATGTTCATTGTTAACGATTTTATCACTTCTTATATTCACTATTTTTCATAATATAAAATATTTTACCGGTTGATACTTGCCATATGAATGTTGTGTATGGGCTTGTAAAAAGTTATTTGCTGTAACCAAGATAGTTTATTATATTGTTTCTTCAGAAATTCCAATTACAGAGGAACAAAAACGAGATTATGAGCACTACAATACAAAATTCGCTGAGATAGCCAAAGCATACGCCGAAGGCTATAAAGGTATTCATAAAAATCTTTTTAAAAACAATTTCTTTTGATGGAAGACAATATTAAAAGTTGCAAGTAGTTACAATGCAACATGACGCGACATTTCATTACGATTTAATTTTTTTTCCCAATACCACTAAGCTTTTGTATGATATAATCTTTTCTTTCTTTTTTGTAATTTCAGCTGCTATAAAAGCAGTTCAAGCACGCGCTATAATTGCTCAGAAACGTCTTCAACAGATGCAAGTCAATAACGTTCGCTCTACTATACCTGAAGTTCCAGATCGTGGTAAAACAGAAAGATTAGAAACTTCGTTGTTCAGCTTTCCGCCCACAAACGAGGTTATAAAATCAATCATTTTAAATCAGTGGCACCCAAATTGGTTCTCTCAGGAGTTTTGTTATTATTATCTCCAAATAATTTGACCGGTTTAATTGTAGGGGAGGGATTTTATAAAAAGTAAAATAGGTTTGGACTTTTGCAAATAATTTTGCCTATAAAATCAGCACTGCCTATAATTTACATGTTTTGAACAGCAGTTCATTTATAAATGTGATCAATTTGTTGCATATTTCAGCTGCTTATGTTATAAATCAGTATTGTGTAATATATAACATTGTTATATATTATGTAGCATATGACATATAGTATCGTTTGTATCAATGTTTTATAAATAATATATAATATATAAAACTACCTTATGATAAGGTAGTTTTATATATTATATATTATTTATAAAACATTGATACAAACGATACACATATGATATACATATATATAAAAAATTACGAGTACTCCAGCTGTATAATTTTAAGATAATATCTAAAAATTATACATCTGGAGTACTCGTATTTTTTATAAATTTATGATCTGCACTAATTATAATTAAGAGGCATGCATTCGACTGTATTGCATGCAGTCTGACTTTGACTAGTCAAGATCAGTTTTAAAGGGAGGGGAAGGGGTGTGATCTCCACGCTCGCAAAAGATGGTCATTTTCAACTTATAGTCGGGTTTTTAGTCGGCATTTTAGTCGGCAGATTTTTAGATGAGACTTTACCCTTTTTCCCTCTTTCCCCTTGATTTATTCCTAAAATCGCCCCTACACGCAGCTCTCAAAAAACTTGCTTGTGCATATTTGTGTTTTGTATTTAGAAGTTGAAAAGTTGAAAAAAAAGACAAGTTGAGCTAGCGGAAATAAATTAACAAGCAAAACAAGCTGCTCGAGAACACAGACCAAAAAAAATTCCAAAGAAATAAAGCTAAAATGGCGGAGGTGTACTTGATTCACGGGGTCTAGGGAGGGGGTAATATATGTTCAACTAAACGACTTCGCTTTAATCTCCCGTAAATCAGTTTAAAGGTGATCCGTTTTTCTACGGGAAAGGGAAAGGGAACAGAAAAATAATAATGTGAGCATGCGTAATAAAAGTTTTTACTTGTCCGTAAGGAAACTGCGCATGCTCACGTGATTATTTTTTCCTTTCCCGTAGAAAAACGGATGAGTGGAAAATCACATTAAGGGTCGTCCATAAAGTACTTACGCTTTTTTTTTGTCCAATTGCATTTTGCAATACGCTTTTTTGAGTATCCTCCAACTCTCTAAAAGTACCTACGCTTTTAACCTATTAATCTAACATTTTATGATATTTTTTCAAATTAGTATCTCCTATCTTTTATAATTGACCCACTGCCCTCCCATCTTATTTACCATATTTGTAGACCCCTCTTCCTCTCCGAGCGAATGTACTTTATGTACTGTCACAATAATTTTGGTCCGCCGATAAAAATGACCCCGGACTAAATTTCTCAGAAAATATATATCCGGCCGGATATTTTTTTTCTGAAAAAATTGGTCTGAGCTAGAAAAAATTGGTCCGTGTTATAATTTAGTTTGCATGTGCGCATATATCTTAAAAATTAATTATTAGGAATTTAATTTATACTAGTATTTCTACTATTGTAAATATCCTTGAAATGTTAACAACTAATTTCAGAATATATTTAATTTGATTTGAACAAGGTAATAAACAAATATTGATAATTCAAAGCTTGATTTATCAATGTTTATTCATAATAATTATTTATTCTAAAATAAATAGCAGTTAATATTATTCATTATTTAGCCTAAATCATCAAAAAAAAAAGTGTAAATTGTTTTTATTTCGGCTTTGCAGCTTTAATTGATTTTTATATTTGTCTGTATTTTTTGTATGTATTTTTTGCCATAGCTTATTCACGGTCGTTCAGACTTACTAAGTAAGTGGAAAGTTATTATACGCAAGCGCAGTAAAGTTTGCATATTTTAAAAGTTTTAAAAATGGCTACGGATAACGAATATAAAAAAAATTCTCATTGACAACGAGCTATTTTTCTAATTTTTAGCAATTAAATATGCATTTAGCCGTTTATTAAAAGGAAATTATAATAAAAGTAACTTCTAGTACACGATAAAATGTTTCAAATTAAATATAAAACCTATAAAAACGAATAAAATGTAATTACAGCAATAGCTTTTTTAGTGTGTTTTGTTTATCGTTTTCAAATTGTTTTTAAAAAAATTTTGAGCGTAGAAATTTTTAAATTTTAACTTTTTCAGAAAGATGAACTGTTGATCTTTCTTAGAATGTTTACTGATATTAGTATTCAATTTTTTTTCAAGATTAAAAGATATTTTCTTAACATTAACTTTTAGTAAGCTGTTGCTAGGCTACCCTATAATCACAATACATAATTACATTGATGTGAGTATATATATATATATATATATATATATATATATATATATATATATATATATATATATATATATATATATATATATATATATATATATATATATATATATATATATATATATATATATATATATATATATATATATATATATATATATATATATATATATATATATATATATAAATATATTTATGTATATATATATATATATATATATATATATATATATCTAAATAAATATATATATATATATACATAAATATATATATATATATATATATATATATATATATATATATATATATATTTATGTATATATATATATATATTTATATAAATATATATATATATATATATATATTTATATAAATATATATATATATATATATATATATATATATATATATATATGTAAAATATATATATATATATATATATATATATATATATATATATATATATATATATATATATATGTAAAAGTTGATTATAATAGAAAGATAGCGTATAACCATTTTAAAATATATTTAGATGTAAAAATATATTAACAATAGTATATTTTAACTTTATATATATATATATATATATATATATATATATATATATATATATATATATATATATATATATATATATATATATATATATATATATATATATGTATATATATATATATATATATATATATATATATATATATATATATATATATATATCGTATAACAAGAAATGACTTTTAAAGATATATGTGTATATATATATATATATATATATATGTATATATATATATATATATATATATATCGTATAACAAGAAATGACTTTTAAAGATATATGTGTATATATATATATATATATATATATATATATATATATATATATATATATATAAGATATGTTAGTGTATTTTAAAAATAGAGTGCCATAACAGAGACAAAATTAAATGTATTTTTGCTAATTTATTAAAATTAACAAAAAAACATCTAATTTTGTCTTTGACAGGCAGGCAGGATTGTATATATATATATATATATATATATATATATATATATATATATATATATATATATATATATATATATATATATAATATATATGTATATTATATATATATATATATATATATATACATATATATACATATATATATATATATACATATATATATATATATATATATATAAATATATATATATATATATATATATATATATATATATATATATATATATATATATATATATATATATATATATATATATATGTAAATATATATGTATATATATATGTATATATATATATATATATATATATATATATATATATATATATATATATATATATATATATATATATATATATATATATATATATACATTTATATTTATAAATTTCAATACGTATGGATGTTAGACCCATGGAAGTCGGCCTAACATACAATTTTTAATATATTTACTTTTTGTTTTTGTTAAAATCAATTCATATTTTAATACATTCCAATTTTAAAAGTTTTTTTCCATTTCTAACTATTTATTGCTAAAATAATTAATAAAATACCTTTTTTTAGTATATTTAATATACTAAATAATATTTTTTTAGTATTTAAATGAGCAAAGTTTGATCAAATCGAGGGGGCTATTAATTTTATATGGTCATAACTTTTAGGCACAATAATACAAATAAATTAAATTGAAAAATTGAAGGTTTATTTAGTATTAGATAGAGAAACTAAGCATTTTATCAAGTCATTGTCATCATGTTTTGGCAGAGGCAGTTAGCTTGTAGGGGAATTTTTGTTAACAATTCATGAAATTTTTTGCAAAACATTTAGAATTGACCAAAGCATGACCATAATTTAATTTAGTTAAAAAAAAATTTTTTTTAATGTATCTTGAAATTTCCGAGACAACTTCATGTTATTAGAGTAATAACATTCTAATAATGTTATTACTCAAGATTGTGAAAATTTATAATGATATAACCTTGAGCTAATTTCATTATAAACTATTAATAAAAGCAGGTTGATTTGATTCAAATAAATAGAGATTTTTTGAGTCAAGTCTTGAATCACGTATTTGATTTGATTCAAAATATTTAGGCTTAGCAGGGGCCTAATATATATATATATATATATATATATATATATATATATATATATATATAATATATATATATATATATATATATATATATATATATCCACGACATGATATTAAATTAGTTTTTTGAGGTATGTAAGATTTTTTAGGCCTTAAATTAGAGCACACATTGTTTTTATAAAACATTAAATTCAAAATCAACTAAATCGAAAACTAAAATGCTTTTATTTTTATTTTTTTTAATACAAGTAGAATCTATATGCATTATGAAAATCCAAAAAAAGATCTAAACATATTGATTTAGATACCAAAAAAAATAATAATAATTAAACATTTTATCTTAATTTAAAAAAACAATCGGACTAAAGTTAAGTATCTATTTCAAATAATATATTAAAACAATAATTTACCAAAGAAAAACCATAAAAAAAAGCATTTCAATATTTTGCAGATCCACCTTTCTTAAATAAGGATTGAAGAAGGTAATTATCTAAAATTTCAATGCTTCTATCAGCATTAAGTCAACCTTCAAATAATTCATAGCATTTAAGTCCTGCATAATTCATGTAGGCCCAAAAGTCTACACTGCCATTACCTTGCTTGGTTGGTTTTCATGTACAGTTCAAATCAAATTACTCTTGAGGTGATCGCCATAGCAGAACACGAAGCAATAACATATTTTTGCATATCTACCTCAACATTCATTTTTTCTGAGAATATAACATTTCACCACTTGCTGTCGAGTTTCATCAAGCAAATTAATTTTATTAATTAAAAACGTTTATCTCATTGTGTTGCCCACCAGATTATCCAGATCCATAATGTTTCAGTATAAGGTTTTCAAATGTGAATATTCAATATTTAACTTATTGGCTATTTGATGAGGAGATAGTACTTGGTTTTAAATAAAAATAGATTTGTAACATGTTTTTTCAGAGAATCTCAACCATGATTTTGGAGTTTCATGCTGTATTTCTTCACTCGTTATGAGGCTTTTTCAATATCTAATTTCTTTGTGTTTTCATCAGTACTATTTCAAAATTAGAAATTTAGAGTTAATAAATGCTAATGAAAATCAAATTAAATTATTAAAAAAAATATTACATTAATTTTAAAAATAAAGCAGTAAGCATTAATTTTTAACGAACAAAAAAAATTTAAAAAAATATAGTCAATGTTATAAAGTTACATATAACTAGGGATACAAATGAAATTTTAAGGTAACAACTTGTCCATTAAATAAAAAACAAGATATTTATTAATTAGAAATAATAAAATATTTAAAAAGCTAACTAGTTTTTAAAGTAATTTTAAGCAAACAGGATATATAAGTAAGAATGCTCTAATTAATGGCCAATGGTGTATGTATCATATATATATATATATATATATATATATATATATATATATATATATATATATATATATATATATATATATATATATATATGTATATATATATATATATATATATATATATATATATATATATATATATATATATATATATATATATATATATATATATATATATATAATGTATTGTATTACATAGTATACTATGCTTGGACATATATTATTATTTTTAATTTGTATTTGTATGCATTAATTGTGTTTGCATACAATTGTTGTAATCCTGTTGTAATATAATATGCACACAAATTTATTGGACACAAATTGTATATAATATATAGTTAAATGATTATGATATATTATAAAAACTATATTTTATAGTTTATATTACCTATATTATAAAAACAAATATAAATTAAATGCTATATAAACTATGTAACATAATACATTTATATTTAACTTATATATAAATATTTTATATATAAATATTTTATAGTATAATCATTTACATATAATTATATATTATAATTTATATTATAATCATTCACATATAATTATATATATATATATATATATATATATATATATATATATATATATATATATATATATATATATATATATATATATATATATATATATATATATATATATATATTAGCTATATACCTTAATATAAATGTATCATACATCTACAAAAGTAGTGTTGGGTGAATTCTATTTTTGTTCAGAAAAAAATTGAATACTCAGATCTGTAAACAATTTCAAATCAAGATAAGACTATTCGAAATAAAAAAGTAAAAATTATTAAATTGTATCGCTCAGATTTTTAGAAAAACAGTTTTGAAAATGTAAACAAATCACACTTTTAACAGTCAGATAAATGTAGCAGAGAATCACAGTTTTTTATATATTTAAACATCTTTACATTGTTTTTATCATTTTTGAATCAACAATTCAATTATCTTTATTATTATTTCATTCTATCAAAAATATGCAAATAATAACTACTATGTAAAACTTTAAAAATATTGTTGCTACTCAGAAAAAATTTTGGTATCTAAAGGCCGTCACCATCTTTAAAATTATAATATTTGAATTTGACACTGCGCTTGCGTATACTAACTTTCCACATCTAAACGACCGTGTATTGATGACATTTTTATAACTGAATATAATAAAATAAGTTGTAGAAAAACATCATCATCATCATTTTAGTGTCCTTGTTTCTCTCCTTGTATGTTATGGCAAAACTTTTGAAATATTATCACGGATCTTTTTTTTCAAGGTGGACCAAAATTATCGCAAAATTTATCCAGCCGGACCAAAAATTTCAACGAAAATATTGGTCCGGGATAAAAAATTTTCGCGGACCAAAATTCCAGCGACAGTACACCTTCGCCCTAATTATATTAAACATTTTTATTTTGAAAAAATATGAAGTAAATTTATTTCAAAAATTATTTCATAAATTAAGATGAAATATATATTTATTTATATAAAGTGCTGTAAATTTATTTTTGGAACAATAGTACAAAGTTATACTTAAACACCATGCAAAACACACATGCAATCACCATTCATAGTTTTACAATTCTTTTCTTTTTTTTGTGCGAAAAGAAAAAAAAAAAAAAAAGTTATAAATATATTGAGTAATGGATTCAGGATTTTGTGTGTGTGTGTGTGTGTGTGTGTGTGTATGGGAGGGAGGGGGGGTAATGGGTAGATATTGAAATATTTTTTTTATTTTGTGCCATATTTGCATCTCCTTAAAAAAAAATAGTACTTCAATTTCTAAGATATTTTTAGGACCTTTCAAGTTCTGGTGGGGGAATTTCACCCTCCTCCCTGGATCTGTTACTGAATACATTATATCTTACATAACTTTATCAATCAATTTAAGTATTTTTTATACAGATATATATATATATATATATATATATATATATATATATATATATATATATATATATATATATATATATATATATATATATATATATATATATATATATATATATATATATATATATATATCTGTATAAACAGATTATATTGGAGATTTTTAGTATTGGAATTATGCTATGACATTTTTTATTTTAAGTTTTGGACTTTTTTCTTTAACGCCATAAGATTGGGAGCCACTGATTTAATTCTTTTTTTTATGTTAATGAAATAATTAACTTTGTTAATGCCACAATTAACATTATTCAATAACAAATTGTATAGCTTTATAGTAATTAATATTTGTTAATAAAGCTATATTTATTAGAATGACCTAAAAACAATTATTATTGTGCAGTAACAAGCTTTTGTGGGAAATAAAAATGCAATATTTTGAAATAAAAATCTTGACAATTTAAGTCATGAATTTTATCTTTATATAGGTTACTGAAAATGGTATTGAAAAGTCTGAAATACCTCACCCTGTAAATAATGAACATAGAGTGTTTGAACGATCAACAAACCTGTTTAAAGGCAAAGAAAACTGTATGTCTCATTTATCTCAAATAACTAACAAAAGACAGATAAAACTGACCACTTGATTTAACTAGTAGATGTGTTTAATGTTCCTTTAGGCCATCATAGGCTAATTAACAAAACAGTTAGTTAAATAACGCTTTACTTAGACTCAACAAATTTTTAAAACTTTACTGAGACTCAGAACAAAGTTTTTTTACTTTTGCTCTTGTTGAATAAAAAGCTATTTTTAAAAATAATTGTAATTATTATTTTTAAGTTTTATTTATAATATTTATAATGAATGTTTTTATATATAAAATAATTGCAGCTTTTAAATTTTTTTTTTTAAATAACTGCTGATTTTTTTAATTAGTAAATTTGAATAGTTTAACTTGCAAAACAATAATTTCTTATGCAACATAAATTTTTTGTTTAGTTGGGGAGGAAGCAGCTTTTGACTATCAAAAAGATGCTATAGGTTTGAAATTTAAAAATATTTTTTTAATTTAAAAAAGTTCTACTTATATAGCTTATTTAAAAAAATGTCTTTCTTCAAACTTGAAAAAAATCAGGCATACTAACTTCTCAAGTCACTGCTAAAACAAAACAAATTCAACTTTTCCATTCATTTTTATATATTTATATCTATATTTTTTATATTGAGTTTTATATATTTATGTTAATATTTTTTTTATATATTTATTTATCTATACTCTTTTTCTACTTTTCTTCCTTTTTTTTTCCCCTTTTTTTCCCCCTTTTTTCATTCCTGTTTTAAATGCTCTTATTTAATAGCACATGCTGCTGGTTTATCTGAAACAGTTGAGAATAACTTCCAACAGGAAAAAAAAAAAAGATCTACAGACGAGCCAAAAATTAGTAAGAAACTACTTTTACATAACCCATTTGTTTAATTAAAATAGACTTTTTTGGTTGTAAGCCATTTCAATATTTTCCACAAGCTTTAAAAATAAAATGACATCACTTAATTTTTTTTCATAAACATTTTAGATCGACATCGCAGAAGTCGTATGCCATACCTTGGACAGAACTTGGACGCACTAGGTATTGTTCGAGCAAAACCGAATTGGGAAAAACCTGTCAAGAAATCAATTCCACAAGTATCCAATGCCAATACTTTATTTTCTAATGGCTATCTTTCTCCACAACAATATCCAAGTAAGTTTTTTAAAAGTTAAATCAAACTTGGACAAGGATTTGTTATTTGATGCATTTGTAAGTACTTGATTTATGCATTCAAAAATGCATAGTTATGAAAAATACATTCGTTTGAAAAAACATTTTTTTTACCATAAAACCATTTTTTAGTAAACGTGAATGTAAATGAACGTAAATGTAGATGAACATGAATGTGAATGTAAATGAATGTGAATGTGAACATGCTGATTTGAATTAAATAATAATAATTTGGAATGGAATTTTTAAAACTGTATTAGGTGGTCTACTGTACAGAGATTACAATTAACTTTTGTCAATTGTTGTACTATTTGGTTGAATAAAATAGGGTTTTAGTCACATGAAGTATTTTTTGTTTGTTTCAGTGCCAAAATGGTATACATGGACAGAGGTGACAATTTTTGTTACAGCTCAAACTTATAACTTTGAAGCACATAACTTGAAAAACTACACTGTTCAGAGAAACAAGTTAACCCTTACAGTCTCTGTGACCCGCTATGTGGGTTATGACATTTTTTAGTTAATGTGACCATGCTAAAAATGGCATTTGATCACATAACTGAGGCTTAAAAAAAATAGGCTTTTAAAATAATAGTTTGGCCGCCATTTTCTTACAAACAAAATAAGGTCTCGTTTGTGAAATTCTGACAAATATTTTTTATTTTATAGTTTTAAATAAACGATAACATTTTACTTACAAATATTTTACTGTATTTTGCGTGGGACTTAAGTATAGTATTAGCAGGGACTTAATGGGTAACTTATTAACAGGAATGTGATGGGGTTTAAACTTCAAACCTATTGCTTACATAGCAAACACTGCACAACTACTGAATAAAAATTTCAACAATAGATATAGTATTGTTTTATTATATCTATCGAAATAATAATTAAAGTAAGTTTGAATACTTAAAGTTACTGTAAATATACTTCGAAAGTTAAATATTTTAGTTTTTTATATTTAAGTGTATATGCAACCTCCTCCAGCACAGCAACAGTTACTCCCTGAACCTTATCAGCAACAAAGAGCATATTTCCGATCTTATCCACCATCATATTCTCCTTTAGTTCAGAGACAAGCAATGAATAATTTCTTTAGTGCACCTCAATCACCACAAATTAGAAGTTACATTAATAGTGCGATGTATCCATCTTTTCCATGTAAATTTTAATATATTTTTTAATGCAATTTTTTTTTTTTTTTTTTTTTTTAAATTTTTTAAATCTTGAACAGTTAATACATTATGATCAGTATTAAATTGATTTTAAAATCAAAATCAAAATTTGTTTTAGTCCAGAATTATGGTAAAGTAGTAAGTAATCAACCTTCAGATGTTGAAACTACTCGTCGTAATGAAGAAGTTGTTCAAAAGAAAAGAAGTGCATCACCCGAACCAAGTATTGGTAAGTATCAAAAAACTACTAAATCTCGCATTTTAAAGAAACACTCTTAGTATATAAAGAAATGATTAACATGCTCTTGGTTATAGCACCATGCATTAAATTGGTTAAAATCCACTAGTTGGATTTTATAGTTTATATATATTATATTCATATACTTATATAATTATTTATGCATATTACCCTTGTTTAAAACAAGATTTATTACAAGATCAGGATTCAAGGTTATCATGACCACTCTGCTACTGGTAGCAGAATCCAGTACAACCTGTCTCATGTAATACTACCTTAAAGGATTCACTTTTTAGGTGAAGACTAGGAGAAGTTAACTCCTACTTAGGGCTCTTGGTTGAGTAAAGGCTAGAGATAGTGTCTTAATAAAAATACTCATTTTAGGCAAATCTTTACTGCATCTAGCTAATGTCTTAAAAGGTCTCCTAGGAAAAGACTTTGTTGACCAGACTCACATTCAAATTTCTGTTGACCTCACATTCTTTCATCTAATAAGCTGGTATAGACTTGTTTTAGATTGTTTCCTGCTTTAGGTGATAAATGTTGGACATCTTGACTTTACTTTTAGGTTGTTGTCTCTTTGGTATTAGTTATGCAATTATTCATGTTATCATGAAATAATGGTACACCTCTAAAATACAGTTAACTGGTTAAATTTTTGATTTAACATATATAGTTGTGAGTTTTACTGTAATGGGTGTTTCTGATTACTCAGGTCAAACTACTTCAATTGCTTTTCTTTCTTGGCAGTCTTGTATAAAAAAATGTACAAAATACTATGAATAAAATAATATAAACATGCAACATATTAAAAGGTTCTTAAATGCTATATAAATACAATTAAAAATTTTTTTTTTTTTGTATTATGTATTTTTACTATATAACTAATTTTTCATATTGTTATTTATATTATCTTGACATGATGTTAAACAAAAAAAGGATACAAAAACTTAAAATTTAGTTTAATAACTAATTAAATGACAGGAAAAACTAGTAACAAACTATTATGAATTGCAAAAGACTTGTAACTAACTATTAACTACAGGAAAAGACAAGTAGCTAACAAGTAAGAACTGAAAAGAACTAGTAACTAACGAGTAACGACATGAATTTAATTTTTTCTCTTGTCTTTAAACATGTTTCACTATCTGTAAGACATGTATCATTTATAAAACTTTACTTTTAGAAAAATTAAATTATGCAGCAAGGCATCGCAATGTTTACCTAGATAACATAAGCGGAGATCCATACAGTATGTAATTTGTGTACAGAGGAAAGACATGTCGCGGAATTTCACGTGCATGTCATTTTATATTATATTTTATATTATTTTGATTTCTGTGTGTGTATAAAACATTTATAACATAAGTATTATATATATATATATATGTATATATATATATATATGTATATATATATATATATATATATATATATATATATATATATATATATATATATATATATATATATATATATATATATATATATATATATATATATATATATATATATATATATATATATATATATATATATATATATAGGGGAGAGTGGAGCACCATGACACACTTTTGGTTTTTGCTTCATAACATTTTTTTTTAATAAGCCTTTTTTTTAGGGGATTGGTTTAATTTGTAGAATAAATTGATACCTACAAAATTAAATTTATAAATTATCAAAATATAGCAGATTAAACTTGTAAGACTATATTAAGTAAATATAGAAATTTGTTTCAAAGTACCCCACCCATGAGGTACCTTGATTCTACTATGAGCATCATTAAAAAAGTAAATAAAAAGTATAAAACATAGGAAAAAAAGGCAGATTTTTACTAAAAAAAAAAAAAAAAAAAAAAAAGTTAATAATTATAACCCAAATAATGCATCAGTTGTCCAAATCACATTTCAGAAGACCAGATAATATATTGTTTTAAGTGTCATTCTTAAGCGTCAATAAATAGCTTTGTATTGAAATTGGATCTCCTTGAATTATATTGACATAAATCTCTTTAAAATTGACTGTGAATATTAAAAAAAATGATTTTTAGAATTGTTTATGACACAATGGAGTACTATTCGAAACTTTTAGGGCCTCCCACAAATGCTTTATCATGTTGCTTGCTATCAATACTTGCTAATAAAAATCTCTTCATTTTTAGTATCAACTTGTTTTTTCAATGATTTTGTTTAATGAAGTAAAGAGCTTATGGATTGTAGTTTACAAAATCATGTTACTTATTGATACACACATTTATTATTTTTTATTTTTATTATATATTTTTGTATAATAGTTTAAAATGTTACATTAACCAATTGTGTTATAAACTTATCATGTTATCAGATAATAGAAAACAACAGCATTTGGATGAATACAAAAAATGATGATACAAAAATTACAGAAAATATATTCTTCACAATGAGTATTTAGAAAACTCCACGATTAGAAACACTAAAAACACTGATTAGAAAACTGAGCAGAATTGTTTTCACAGTTTTAAGTATTTTAAATTGTCTTGAAAAAACTCTGCTGTTGTCTTGAAAAAACCTGCTGTTTAGGAGCTACAATGCTCAGTATAAATTAGACATGTTTAAGTTTTTAGATTTTTTGTCAAAACCAAGTTAATAAAAATGATAAAAATTTAATGTGCAAAACACTAATGTGCCTTTTATGTTTAAAAAAATTTTGATCAAGTTTTTCCAACATAAAACCACAAAATTGGTTAAAATATAATCAAGAAAACTGGCAATAACGATGGGCGTCATTTTATCACTGATAATCTTTGCCAATAAAATATAAGCTTTGTATTTGTCAAATGTGACAAAAAAAATTTTTAACTATAGTTTTGTATCAAACATCCACTTTGATTCACTTTTGAGCATTTAAATGAACCATGAAATGAACATGATTTGAAGTAAACATATAAATGAAGTCAACAAACTTTATCAAAAGATTTGAAGCTTTTCAATTCACTAACGTGTCTTGTAACAATATTTTCTTGAACCGATGCATCCAGTTCTTTGAAAAATTAATGACTCACCTCCTAGCAGAGGCGATTCTACAAATAAAATAAAGAGAGGGTGAATCCTCAAAATGTACCGACTAGCTGCAAAAAATAAAAAAAAAAAAGCTTCTTAAAACGAAAATTTAACCGACTAGCCGACTAAATTCGTAAAAAAACCGACTATAACTTGAAAATCACCATCTTTGGGGGTGTAATACCCACCCATAAAATCGCCTCTGCCTCCTAGAAATGAGGATTTCCAACTCCGCGATACCAGTACCAGGTTGTTCTTTTCAATTTTTCTACTAAATTATTTCCCTAAATCCTAAAGACCTAGTGGTAAAACCTAAAAACCTTTAGTTTTTTATCACAGGAAAAATCTAAAATTCTGGTTTATGCTTCAGAATTAATTTGCAACAAAAGAATTCGTAAGTTTATTAAATTTTTGAATTGTAGTAAACCATCTAATTACAACTTTATTTAAATTTGCAATTTACTTCTGGAGCAAAATACACTATGGAAACCATAAAGCATTTAGAATTTTATGAAAACCATTGAACCAGTTTTTCAGTGAAACTAGTTTTGTAATTTCTTCATTAACGTTTTTTGTTTTGTTTTGTTTTTTCTGAAAATACTGGTTCCTTATATTTTTAGAATTAGGTACGCGAGGTCAATAACCCGGTTTATAAACTTCCAATTCCTTGTTTAACGTTTTTCACTTTTAGTGACTCTTTTTTTTTTATTCCTTGAAATTTTGCTAATATTCATTTATGAAACGTTTACAAAAAAATTTAAATAAAAAATTGTTTTTGTTATTGTTTTATTATCTAATATTTGTGCAAAATTTTTAATGTTTATGTTAAAGATTATTTTCATATTTTATTAATTATTCTTAGGTGGAGGAAGCGCTGTTTTATCCAGACAGAATATTATCTACAAAAATTAACCGTTTTTGTTCTGTACGTTCACTTTTTTAATGTAATTGACTTTTTTGTAAATTAGTAATACGATGTATTCGACCAAATTTTGTAAATGATAAGATTAAATGTTTTGATTTTTATTGTTAACTTGTGTAAACAGTTGTTTAATTAGTTAAAAAAATGTTGTGAAACGCTTTTTGTTAATTCTAGATTTCATCAATAATCGTGGGAATATTTATGATAATAATGAGGATAGTTTATTATAAATTACATTGCTTTATAAAATAGGAATGTGTTACTTAGATAACTTATCAAAGTCCAGTAATCTAGAGACACTTGTCGGTTGAATAAAATGATGGATAAATACCTATCAATGTTCTATTTAAGGTGGTCTTATACCATCAATATTGTGTCACTGATATTTGACCGTAAAACACTTTTTACTACATGTAATAAGATGCCCGGATATAAAAAAAGAAAAATAGTTTTAAAAATTAAAAAAAAAAAAAAAGATTTTACGAGCTTAAAAAACCATGTTGGGACCCGAAACATCCCAATTACTGTTTCCTTATTGATTTTTAAACCATATTTACTCATTGAATAAAATTTTATAAAAAGTTTTGTATTACTATGAAGAAAAATTTGAAGTAAAATCAATAAAATATGAAAATAAAGAAGTTTATATTTTATAGATAAAAGATCATTTATATTAAAAATTGACTATAGCTACGTTAGTTCTAAGACCAAAATTTCTAAAAATATATAATAAAAAACTTCTATTTTAGTTCAGGTTGTTGATCAAACCTAAAAGAAGAACTTCGGAAATTTTTAGGTCAAAATGTAAAGTCTAAGAAATTTTATTCTGGAAACAGTGACTAAAAATAGGCAAAAGTTAAAAATTGAGAAAAACGAAAATATGAAACTAAATAGAAAAAGCATCAAAATACCATTACACACAAAAAAAATCAGTATGCTCCAGTCATATAAGACTCACAGTCATTTGTATTTGTACTCACAGTCATTTGTATTTGTAAAAGAAAAGGTTATATTCATCAATATAACCTTTTCTTTTAGCTCTTAATACTTTCCTTTGCTTTTTACAGGAACTACTTGACTTCTTGTTAGCTTTTTTATTCTACAAAAATTTCGTTTTTACCATTTATGCAAAATGAAGTTCCAGGAGTATTGTTGAAAAAATTAAATACTTTATAAATCCCATTAAAACCATCATTAAAATGAATATTTTTTCAACAAAAAAATTTTTTTTTGGCTGAAATATTGACTTTTAGGGCATTGAGACCAAATTATTGGATTAACTTATTGACATTCTATGTTAAGTCATGCAAATATTTAACCAATAAACTATCAGTACTTAGCTCTATAAAAATTGGTTTCAAAACATCTCTAATAACAGCAGACAGTGACGATTTAGGTTCATAATTTAACTTTTTCACTCCATTTGGTTTGTCTTATTTGCACCAACTATCATTGGTTCTTGGAAAATATAGATGTTTTTGAGCTTAAGTGTCTGACTCACTGCAATGAAACAAAACTGCAATAATGGCTTTTTTCATGTTATAAACTGCATACTTTGTTGAGTGAACTTAGTCTATTTCCAAGTCTTTTATGTATATGACCAACACATTTAAGTTTATTAATAACAAAATCTTTACCATATGACTTACTCTCTATAACTTTAAGAAATGACCTGCTATCACCATCTCCAGCATAATTTTTATAGCGCAAACCATTTTGTTAAATTGATCGATGAAAAATTGAAATAGCTCCATTGTGTCTCCATTGAACCTGCTGAACCCTTCTGGTTTATTGAACAGTTATGGCTGCTGTTCCATATTTGGTATTAATCTGAGCCTCAGATACCTTTTTCTCATTTTCTGAAACATTTATGATAATGATACATTTTAAAAAGCAGATTGTGACAAAGGTCACCTTTTTTATGTAATTTATGTAAAGATTGTGACCTTTGTCACAATCTGTACATAAAATGATAATTCACGGTGCTTCTTTTATAAGGTATTTTAATTATCTTTCAATAGGTACTTTGTCTGAGAGTACTATAGAAGTCAGAAACAAGGAAAACAAAACTGAACGAGTTGGTCATGCACGTTTAACTTTTAAAGGAAACAGTCGGTACTTCTTGATCACTCACGCCCCCCACCTCTCGTTTTATTCGTAGAATTGCCTCTGTCTACGCCCCTTATACAGTTTTAAAAGTTGCGATGCTATTTGTATCATTTTGATTGAAACTGGCAGTGCCAAAAATGGTTTATAAAATTTTATTTCTAGTTAGTATGTTTGAGCCTTAATAGGAACAAAGCAGTTTAAAGAAAAACCCCCGAGTTGGTTCAACTTCATCAAGAACAAATAAAATCTATGAAAAATTACATTTATATCACTAAATAGAACATAAATAGGTATTTATCCATCATTTGATTCAACCGGCATATTTTTTATATAGAAAAAGCACCGTTTGTGTCTCTAGATTACTGGATATATTGTCATTTTTTTGTTCCTCTATTTGAAGGTTAATGCCAAAATTGGCAAACTGTAATTTAAAGTAATATCAATATAACACATATATGTTAAACATTTTAAAATTAAAAAAAAAGTTAAATTTTGTTTACACCTCCATACAAATATTTTGTTTTCTTTGTGCTTTCCAATCAAATTTAGGTAATTTTTTTTTCTGGATTCCAATTAGCTGTTACAAATTAATGACGCTTTTCATAGCTATATTTAATTTCTGATTCCTTTGTGAATTCCAAAAATTTTTTCCGTATTCTGACTATGAAAAGGATATTTTGGAATACTCGATGGGCTGTTATTGTCTTTTAAATATCTTCATTTGAAATTAGATTCAGTAAAGGTGGTGAAATAACTTCTTCAATGCCCCAATTTACCTATTTATTGTAATCTGTGGCTCCGAGATAATATTAAGGTAATATTTTTTTTATATACAAATTGTTCTAATATGTTTTCTTTCATTATTTATCATTGCAAAAAATATACTCTAAATGTTGGCAAAGTATGAGTTTTGTTTTAAAACTGAGAGTTGAACACGGCTTGCTCTTGTGAGCCATTTAGCTTGATGAATGTTTCCAGAAAAACGTTTAGATAGTTTATTTGAAACCTCTCCTGATTGAATAAATAAACAAATTGTGTAAAGATATTTTTGATCTGAGCTTAATGTACTAAAGATGTTATCAGGAATTAAATAAAAAGCGTCTTTTATTTTTTTTAAAGAAACTACTGCTAAATTAGTTAAGTCTTCTGTTATTTGTTTACCTATAGATCCTTCAAATGATGCTGAGCCAGAATTTTTCCATCAATCAACTCAAACACATTTTTAAACAGAATAAAGTTAACTAATGAGCTACTGGTTCGTCTATCAATTTCTGTTTCTATTATTTTTATCACTCCTAATTTACCAGTGTTTTCTTAGTTGCATCACATAATCTAACATTTAAAGAACCACTACAGTCAGTTTCAAATATTAAATGGAGAATTTCATCAGCAATGCAGCGAGAAGTTCAATTATCAAGTGTTAGATTATCTATAAAGTTGCTGCTTTTCAATATATTATATTATGGATCAGCTATATAGATATATATATATATATATATATTCTATATAGATCTATATAGCTGCTGCTTCACAACAAGTTCTCTAACTATTGTAATATATTTTCTTTAACCCTATACCTGTAGTTATTATTGTATTGTTTTTTCCTCCTTCCAAAACTAATACATTGTAATTTCAAATCGCATTTTCTCTAAATTACATTTTTTTTGTTCAACACAAAGTCTTTCTCGTTTTACTTTTTTCCTGTCAAGCATATTTGATTAATTTAGTATTCCTAATAAAATCCTACTTGTTTTCAACAATATAATGTGTATTTAACTTCTGTTGCCATGTTACAATTTTCTTTTTTGCGTTTCAGTTTTTTTTAAGTAGATGTGTAGGTACGATCAAGTGATCCAAGTTTATTTTTGTGTCGTTTTTGTCTAACAAACGCATCCTATTCTTTGGTTGGGACTTTGTAAGTACATTTGCATTTCTCTCTTTCTACTCCTGTTTATAAAATTTACACGAACATATATTAAACATGTAGTCAAAGTTTTCAATTTAGCATAAAAATTATCATTTTTTCTGAGCCTTGAAATTTTTATTTAAATTGAATGCTATTTCCATTAATCTACATACAAGAAAAAAAAAAAAAAAAAATTTACTGCAACTAGTACAAGTTAAAAAAAATAATAATAGTAATAATAAACTTGTTTAAATAGTTCCAATGCAACATAAATTGAATTCCAATGCAACATAATTTTTTTTTTTGGTTTGCATTTGTTAATCGTTGTACAGCCCATAATAAAACATAACAAACATAAACAAGGTATCTGAAAGAAGATCGTAAGGATCTTGTTAATCTGTGTCTGAAGAAAGATCAAAAGGATCTCCTCTTGATCTTTCTTCAGACACAGATTGACAAGATCCTTGCGATCTTCTTTCAGATACCTTGTTTATGTTTGTTATGTTTTATTATGGGCTGGAAAAACAATCTGTGTCTGAAGAAAGATCAAGAGGATCTCCTCATCAGATTTTTATACAAGAGTAAACCAACATATAAATTAAAAAGTGAAAAGTATAAAAACAATAAATAAAATAAGTAGGAATAAACTTCTATAAACATAAAACTTCTATAAACAAAAAAAAATATATATATATTTAACTTTTACTACTAATAATAACTCAATATATTATCTAATGAAAAAATGAGGTTTTTCAGTTTTTTTTTAAAAGGCAAAAAGTAATAGGTACTTCAAAATTAAAATTCGACAAAACAAGTTTATTCCAAAGGTGTGGCGCTCGATAGGTAATACAAAATTGATTAAAGTTTGTTTGACAGAAAGGCTCATTTAAAAAGTTATTATTTCTCAAAATATACTTACTGACAGGTTTAAAAAAGAAAAGATCTTTGAATACGGCTTGGGATAAGTTATTTATCCACATATACACAAAAGATAAAATATTAAATACATTTAACTCGTAAATATTCAAACTTCTCATTTCAATAAAATAATGCTTCGAATGAGAGAAGCGATTTGCAAAATTGATTATACGGATTGCGCGTTTCTGACGGAGATACTTACTTTTTTCTTACTTTTTAACT